GGAAAACCTCATTAGAGAAGCTGAAATGACAGAAAAGCAAAATTTGATACAAACAGCTCCAAGTTGCAAATTTTAGGTTTATCAATCTGCAGATAAAATGTCATAGCCACAGCATCAGAAGTGTTTTGCTCCAGGGCATGCTCAAACACAGACCCCAAGCACAGTGAAGCTCCAGCATACCACAGACTCTATACACCACTGAGATGTAAACCAAAAGCAGGACTACTTAGAGCTCTGACAGTCTACAGAAGGGGTATTTAATTTTTTACTATTTCTTTTTATCAGTTGATTGTCTCCTTGTACTCAGTAGTAGGTTGAGGTAAAAGATATTTCCCCAGCATAAACCCTCCTTCTGCAAATATGGATTCAACTCACAGCCGCAATCAACAGGTCCACGGCATTCTTCCACACGAACAATACACTTGGATTCACCTCCAGGGCATCCATTGGTTAAAATAACTTCTCTGATACCAACACCTTTAGTCAAATAAATGAACAAATATTTAAATAAAAGTAACTGCAAAGGGTCTTTCCTCCCATTCAAGTCTATATTGTCTTTATTTTATCTTTGTTTTGAGAATGTTCTCTTAAATTCAGATAAATTTAAGAACATGTGGAGCTTTTGTAGCCTCTCCACTTCAGTTATTTCTTAAAACAGTATTTCCCCAAGAAAGTTTCATAAGATACTGATTGCTATTCCCATCAGGAAAAGGATTCTATGTTCACTTGCACATTTTAAAACATTACAATAAAACAGAAAGGACCTCTTTAGTATAGAAGTTTTTGAAACTTTTAGTATGCTAATAAATACACTATCATGCATAATTTTTTATTGACTAAAATAAAAAATTAATTCCAGTATCTTTGAAATCAGAACTTAATATAATTGTGCATAAGAGTACATAAAATATTCTTCCTACAGACTATAAAATCAGATTTGCTATAATACATAGGCTTACACAAATTTATTTGATCATGGAACTTTTCAGGTTTGGGGTTGAAGCTTTTGGAATCAATTCCAAAAATCATATTTTACCATAAGATGCTTTTTAATATCTGTATTGATAAAGTCTCTCTATTAAGTATAGATGGGATAAACTATTTACTACACCTCTATTTCCAGCAAGATACTCTTTCTGAATCTGTCACACATTTTTTTAGCAAGAAATCAGATCATTATTAGATGATCCTAGAGTGTCTCTGTTTTGGAATCACATCCTGTAATGAGCTGTGTAACAGGCTAGGCAGAGTCTCTTTCATCTTCCCCTGCTGGATTCCCCTCTTTAGCTCCTAAAAAGGTGTTAATCATAAGCCCATCCAAGGAAAAGAAAAGCTGAAGATGACAGGTGGCTTACAGACTTAAGAGTGCATGCAAGTCACCTGGAGATCGTTCTAAAATGCAGACTCTCACCCAGTCTTGAAAAAATCTTCATCCTGTATGTCTAACAAGTTCCTTGGTGATGCTATACTTTTGAGAGCTAAGAAAGTGGACCCCCCAAGATCAGGGGAAGGAAGGCTGGAAGATTACTGGAGTTATTATAAAATAACTCTACTGTGGAAAATTCTCAAGCAGCAGCAGCAACAACAAAAGCTAAATTACAACTGAACACTCTCAGGCTGTCATGATTCCTCTCATTTTGGCTGTGACTATAAAGCTAAGGCCAAAACCCCATTTTAAGCTGACTAGAAAAAAAGGGCCTGCCAGGAGCTTGGAGGATGGGTGTGTAGACAGCTACTGTCTACTGGGTATGAGGTTTTAGTGTGGGGTACTGAAATTATTCTATGGGGCCACTGAACTGAATTCTTGAAAGTGGTTAAATGGTAACTTTTATGTTATGTATATTTTAGCACCCACATAAAATACTGTCAGTTTTGGTAATTCTTTTACAAAACCTAAAAAAAAGTTTGATGTAGATGTGTACAGACTAGAATCTCATCACTGTCATGTTTCCAAGGTAGGATAATCAACTGTTAGTTATCTATTGTCTTCTCATTATGCTGATTCCTGGCAATGGTTATAGAAACCAAGGGACTTCCAGCACTAGCAAGATCAGTTTCCTCATGAATTAAACAGAACTTTGAAGTCTTAGGCCTACCCATAGTCATAGGTTGTTAGAAACTCTGGGTTAGTCCAGCAATTTTAACATACTTAGGGTAGCTGTTTAAGAACTAGTGGTCTATATAGCAAATGTTGTTTGAATCCCAACATTACATAAGAGATTTTGTTTAAAATTTCTATTCATGGAATGGACAATGTCATGTTCTCTCAACATTATTCATCTTGCAAAGCTAACACCTCTTTTCTCCAAAATATAATGTACAACTAGAGAAATGGAATATTTGTAATAGTCTATTGCAAATAATCTTATTTCTTGGCAGGTTTGCCAAAGTAGTGTGGGAAGGCATTTGTTAAATGCACTGAAGATATCTCATCTTTGAACATCTGTGAAGCAGAATTTTAGTTTAATAAATATAGCTTACATGCAAAAATACCCCAAATCTGAAAATATACCTTTCAAAGCAATTACCTAGTGTTGTGTGTAAATTATAGTAATAAGAATAGAAAACAAGACATGAAGAAAGTATAAGTAGTATAAAAATTACAAATAATTGGCATTTTATCTTGGTAGAAATCATGGCAGGTTATTCCTTTGGTCTATGCTACTTACCACATGTGACTGTGCACATTCCAAATTCTACTTCTTTGACTATCGTTTTGTTCTGAACTAAACATAAAGTTAAAAAACATTATTTAACCATATGAAAACTTTTATAAGTGACAAACATATTACTTAGGAGGTGAAGGGTACAAGTAATTGCCATATGGGCAATAGAGGATATTTTTTAATGATCTATTAAATCAGGAAAGCAAAGTTGCTCCTCAAATAAACACAGCTATCACCACTCTAAGTCAAAAGAAGCCTAAACCTTTAAGGACATTCATTAAGTTAGAAATAACTTAAAGTTTGATTTTGAATGTCATATATAACACAGGGCTTTTCTTTTTCACTAGCTAATACACAGTGAATTAAAATCCAACTGGAAAAAATATAATAAAACATAGACACAAATCTTGGAACTTTGGGAACAATTTTAAAATATTCTCTATTTTCTATAAGGATGGTAAAAGAAATAAACTAGTACAAAACAATTTACATCCCCAAATAAGCTTTCATACCAAGTGTGCATCAAAATCTAAAAAGTTACAAATAGATTCCATTAATTCACTTTTGCAGGTTTGGATGGCAGATTTCAATGTTTCTAAGGATTCATTCCAGTGAGGCATGCTGCATGTTAATCTATAATATGTACAATTATTATGTAATCATTTGCATATCTAATTATTTGAGAAGCTTAGTAGTCTTGGTTCTCAATCATATTTTCTTTTGACTTTCTTTTTGTAATTTGGTAGTTTTGTTTTGGGGATAGGATCTTGCTACACAGCACAGTGTCGTGTAGCCTTGAACTCCGTGTAACCTTGAACTCAGTAGTCCTCTTATCTTGGCTTCTCTAGGATTACAGGTATAAGCTCCCATGCTAGGACATTTCATTTTTTTCCTAATCATTCCAAAGCTTAGCCTGAGTTCCTATAGCTATATAATATGCAACCAAGTCTTCAAAAAAAAAAAAACACAGATTAAGACTCAAATCTCAACAGAAAAAAATGCCTAATGGCCTGCTAAAGGAGAATGTTAAAAGGTATTGGATTTCTAAGCAACCAATCACACAGAATCAGCACATCTAACTTGAAGTCCAAAACACTGCTTCTGCCACTAATTCACAGTTGGAATTTGAGTGAAGAAACTAAATTCTGTTAGATCTAGTTAACCCTTTGTAAAAATTGAAAAGCCTGTCTTACTTGATATTTAAACTGAATGAAGTGGTGTAGGAAAACATTCGATAGATTACTTAGGGCTGTGTACCAACTTAGGACCTAATAGTTAACCCAGTTCAAACTCATTTTGTAGTTATTAATTTCATACTCTATTTTTCCCAGTTTAAATATTGTGAAACATGAACAGTTTCACAAACACTTTATTCTGTATTTGCAAGCATCAAATACAGGACTGTGAATACAGAGCAGGCACAGGATACATATAATTAACTCAACATTGACTTTGTTAAATGATTTGAACTAACATGATGATCAATTTGAATTGACATTTTAATACTTGGAATGCTTGAATACTTTCAGATGGCATATTATGAGGCACAAGATAAAAACTGGACCTGAGCATAAAAACATGTATAAAAAACTGACTACTGGACCACTTGGCAATCATCAGCCAGCTCCATTATTCACTACCTATGCTACTTTGGGGAAGTACATAAGTTCCTTCTTACTTGAGTCTCCTCAGAGGGGGAAAAGAAGGACGAGGAGATGGAAGCAGACAATTTCCAGAGATTCTTTCAACTTTAGTATGTGTGGTGTATTGAGTGTTCACTGGGTCATTTAGTCACTTTATAAAACTGTAAATCCTACAATGATGGGTCAAAAAATGATACATATCTGAACTTACATGTGACATTTGTCAAAGTTTCCTATTACATAACAATGTATCAAATGAAAAAAGTCTGAGTATCAGTGCATCATTAAGTTCACAGATGCTGATTAATTGGTCCGTGTCAATGGAGAAGGACTAATGTATCAAAGATCTGTGTCTTCCTCAGCATTTTATTAGTAACCTGTAAAAGGAACCTTGATAACATGAAAACTAAATTTGGGATCCTGAAAATAAGACTGATAGTAAGTTTGGATCTGAAGTGGCCGGGTGGAAGAACAGTTAAATCTAACAAAATGAAACCTCAGATGAAATTAAATCCTATAGGTTGAAATCTCAACTGTCCAAAACTATTGTGTGGCATGTCATGAGAGAAGAACAAGTAAAAACCACCAATGAGCTTAACCGTGAGTTAAAAAGGAGGCAAGAATGTGATGAGGGTTCCTAAAGCCTCACCCACAGCCTGTTAGCAGTCATCCTGCAGTACAGGGTGATTAGTGACACACATCATCAGGGTGCAACTGGAACCCTGAAACTGTTTCTTGGGGTGGGGGGTGTAAGGTTAATATTTCAGGACTTTCATTCTTTCTTAGATTGAAGGACATATTTTTCACTTTATTTTTATTGCACTACTGGGTATTAACGTAGGGTCTCAAATATGCTAGTTGAGTGTTTCATCCTGAGCTGTATCCTACCCCTGCTCCTCATTTTGTTTTAGAGATAGGTTCTTTTCTTTCCTTTTGTTTCGTTTTGTTTTGTTTTGTTTTTGAGATAGGGTTTCTTTGTGTAACAGTTCTGGCTGTCCTGGAACCTACTTTGTAGGTTTTTGTAGACCAGGCTGGCCTCAAACTCATTGAGATCTACCTGTCTCTGCTTCCTGAGTGCTGGGATTAAAGGCACATGCCACCACCACCCCCAGATGATACAGGTTTCTTTAAGTTACCTATGGGGTCTTTGAATTCACTTTGTATGCCAAGTTGGCCTTGAGTTTACAATATTACTACCTCAGACTCTAAAGTAGCTGGGATATAGTCCTATGCCACCAGGATTAACCATAGTTGTAGTTTAATAAAGTGAAACTGATTTATAATTCACTATGTATATTAAAGGGTCTACTGGACCCTTTAATAAGTCTAAGAGCATATTGAAATAGAATGATTATACTCTAAAAGATATATAAGGCACATGGAGGAGATAATCTAATATATTCTGATGTTTCTTTTATCTTAAAACATTGTTATTTCATCATTGGCCACCAATTTCCAACTATATTAAAAACTCTGAAATTATCAAATTGAAGACTAATTGGAATTTGCTAGAAAGATGAGCAGCTGTGAAATAAACCAAGGCTCTGAGGTCACCACCTCTTTCCACCTCTCCAGTTTCTCCTCTCTCACTGCTTTGCACTATCTTTCAGGAACACAGGACACATCTCTACAGGCACCCTCTCTGCAGTCATCAGAGCTCACCAGAAATAAACAAAGCTGGAGTTTGACAACTGGGCTTTTTGTTTGTATTGTTTGCTTTTGTTGATGATGGCCAAGGGGAAATGGATAGGTAAAACATTTCACAATTAGTAAACAATGATGATCAGAGACAGCAATACACAAAGGTTAAGGTAAAACAATTAGTTATATAACCAAAACTTCAGTGACACATTGCATTCATCCTGGATGAATAGTCTGGATTTTCTCTAACTTAGTAAGTAGACATGGAGTTTCTTAAAGATGAAGAAGACATGTGGTACACCTTCCAAGAGAAAGGGCTGTCTCCTGAAATATTCTACTACAAAACCCTGAATTATCTTATTTTCCTGAAATCACAAGGACAGGATTCTTTCCTTCTTCATGTTTATATATCAAATTAACTTGACAAGATTTGTAAGTGGATAAATCGTGACAGCAGGTCTCTATGTGGGGACTCAAAGAAAATAGATGATGTTGACATGAATAAAACTCGTTGACTAATCTTCCAATTGTTTACAAATCTAAAACTGTAAATGCTTTGCAATTATGCAGCAAAATGGCATTCTCTGCAAAGAACTGTGTGCCTTTCATATCTTTCAGAAGCATTGTGTTTTGACAATAGTGCAAAAAGAACTACAATAATGATGAACTAGACTCTGTGAGAGAGGCTGCAGCTGAATTTCCATGATGGCTAAACTGCAGATTCATGTTGGACAGTTGAGAATTTAGGTGCATTCAAATTATTTGCCCAGTTTAGAGTGTGCACAGCTTCAAAGGTAGGGCATCTAAAAACAAGGGGTACACAAGACTGAAATCCCTACTGAAGCTTCTCACAGTGTTTCTACCAGTCCTTATTTTGTGAACTATCTGGAAGCAGAATTAAAAGGAAAAGCAAGTAAAGAAAATAATACGCTAGCTAGTAAATGCTGATAACAATTTTTACAGATCCACTAGGCTATAAGGATCATGCAAATTTACCAAGGTTCTGAAATGTTCATATATCTATCACTACTGTTTACACTTCTGGACTCTTAGTCTTCCCAGGAAAAAGCACTTAGGGATGAAACTGGACATCTAAAATTCCAGAGGACATGTGAATTCTCAGAAGTCCACAGATTTAAACACTGAAGCGCTACAAGAGTTAAGTGCACTTAACTTTTGAATTTGAATGTAAGGGATTATAATCCTTCAATAGGGTTTCACCTCATCATTATTTAGCATTTTACAGATAGAATTTTCCCTTGGCCAGATTAATATTAAAATTGTTACTCAAAGAATAGAAACCATGCTTAGGACATAGTCTCTTCTGTCGTCCCTTCTTTCTTACAGTTCCAAAGTCAGGAAGCTATTCAACATCTCTGTAATGTTGCTAAGATAAGGTCTCCAGGAACCTCAGACAATTTCCTTCTGATATTGTGAGTCACTGCCTGTCATCAGGAAATAAAATAGCAGGTGCAGCACTGATGCTACATAGATTGAGAAGACACAAGAAAAAAACGAAGATAACAAGACAATGACTGCTGGACCATTGTTGGAGGTAGGGAATCATCCTCCTTTAGAAGTCTGCCAACTTGCCACTGACCTACCAGCATGTGAGTTACTCATGAACATGTACAACTGTTGTAAAGTTCCATTGTTCAATGAGCCAGGGGTATAAACTATGTCTCTGGAACCAAATGCAGGTTTGTTTTAATCTCTCTTGTGTTAACACATTATCAGCCAACAATGTCATAACTTGGATCATTTCTTTTTCTACTG